AACTGTACTTGTCAAAAGAGGTTAAAACCCGGGGATATTGTTCACAGCTTTTAAGTGATAAATTTAGAGATGGGCGCGAACCGCCGGTTCGGTGGTTCACGCCGGTTTGTTTTTCGACCAAATGAATGTTCGATGCTTCCCAGCCCTGCCTCCTCTGTTGGGCGCCCACTCAAGAGGCAGCACCTGAAGGAGGCGGGGCAGGGAAGCTGGGCCGCTGTCTCTGAGTGGGTGCCCACCTGAGGAGGTGGGGCTTGGAGGGGCCAAGCACCTATTCCATTGACAAACGAACTGGCACGAACCGCCGAACCGGCGAATTCTGCCCATCTCTGGTGATAATATAAAATGCCAGCCCTGTAAAATGTATTTCTATGTGAGTTCTGCAACAAAATATGTTTCTGGGGGAGCACAATGGCCCACTCGGTGTGGTATAATGCAGTGGTTCCCAACCTTAAGTCCCCAGACGTTTTTGGACTAAAACATCCAGAAGCGTTCACCGCTAGATGTGCTGGCCAAGATTTCTGAGGGCTGTAGTCCAAGAACATCTGGGGACACCAAGGTTGGGAAGCACTGGTATAGCGGATAGAGTGATGGACTAGGACTCAGGAGACCTGGGTTTGAATCACTCCTCGGCATATGGAAGCTCACCCAGAGAGTAGAAATGATAAAACACTCCTTAAATATCTTGCTTAGCTTGAAAGCCTTATTAGGGTCACTCTAAGTTGGTTCCAACTTGAACAACAAAATGTCCCCAGCCGGTGGATGAGGATTAGGAAGAAGTGAAGATAGGAAAGCTTCCTTCACCATTCAAACGAGGACGGAACATGCTCAGAAGAGAACGCTTAGCATCTTTTGGAGAAATCTCGGGGAGGGGCAGATAAAATGGAGACTTCTTTAAGAGGACATTGCCCTTAGCTTCATTAAAAGGTTAAAGAGAAACACTCCACTCTCCGTGCGTTCTGTTGCAAGTCCCCGTATTTATCCAAAACAGCCTCTCTGACACAGGTTTCCTTTCCTGTGTAATATCACTTAATAAATATTAATTTAATTAAACATCTTTATTTAACCTTTTGATCCAGAGACACTCCAGCTGGCTAAATACTATTTGGTTCTTAGAGGACCTGTTATAAAAGAAAAGGAAACTGTTCACAGCAAAACAATAGCACATTGAGCTCCTTGGAGGCAAGAGTTGGGTGTGTGTGTGTGTATAAAAGCAACTGAAGCCTATAGTTGATTAATTTATCCCAAATCTAAACTCCCTGCCTGTGGAAAGTAAGCATATCAAGGAAAATAGTTTGGACCAGATCTCCTTCTAGATTTGTGTGTTAGTCCCTTCAAAAAAAAAGGGGCATAAATTGCTAGATATATCTTGATGCAGGGGTGCGAAACCTCAGGACCCAGGAGAAATCTTGACTGTTGGGGGGTCCCAGTCTGAATCTGTGGGTTTCCCCAGTTCGTCACTGGCCCATCCTCATGACTGTATTTTCACCCTGCTTTTGTACTGTCCCCTCTTCAATGTAGAAAACTGTGCCTAATTAAGATAGCTTAGTTACTGGCGGGGGGGGGGGCTTTAACCTAAACGATGCTGGTTGTTTTGGCCACACCCTTTTTCCTTTGGCCACGCCCATTGCTGGAAAACAGTTCCCATGATTTTCTCTGAGATTGCATGTGAACCAAGGACTGAAAGAGGGACACCCTCACACCCACAAATAACAGGACATGGGGACGCACATGGCTGAACCCCTAGCCACCCGAGGGTGCTAAACCAACAGCTTAATGACTTGCTTCTCAGTTCTCCAGCTTCCTAATCCTGATGATCTGTGGTTTCCAGGCAGATACTCCATCTTGTTTAGCCAAGAGAAGTGGTCAGCCAAAGTTTGCATTAAACCAGGATAATGCATAGGTGTTTGTAAGTGTGTGCGTACGAGATGAAATATTTGGATACATCAGCATCTTTTTTATCTGTCGGCCTGATGAGGTACAGCAGCTTTAATTGACTTTAATGGCCAGCAAATGACATCAACAAGGTCTACTAATACGCAAACCAATTAGCAAGGCTGAGTGGCAGGAATGGTCATGTGACTTGGACAGGTGATGGACGATCTGCCAAAAAGCAGTTTTCACCACCTAAGCTTAGAGTCTTTGTGAACCATGTTGTCGTTTTCTGTTGCGGCGGCCCAGAAGCTTGGACACCCCCACCATGTCACTTCTCATTCATCATCTGAAAACATTAACATTACATTTATTCTTTTTTTTTAAGTACAAAAGCGTTGTATTTTTCCTTTTAAAAACCACAATAAAAGCACATCAGTCGTTGACGCTGAGCCACTGGCCCAAATCCCATTGCTGAACGTTGTAAATTGCACTAGAGTAGGCCCACTGAATCGATGGGGATTTGGTGAGTCAACTCGGCCGTGAATTCCGTTGACTCAAATGGACTACTCTAACTGTGACGTGGCTTCTTTTGAATCAATGGCACCTGGGGAGGCAACTCACCAAATCCCTATTGTGTGAGTAGGTTTACTCTAGCACAATTTACTATGCTAAGCACTAGGATTTTGGCCATTCACACCTTCCAGCATTACCATTCTTGAGAAAGGTACCTAGCATGGTGTGATGACAGGCTAGGACTCGGGAGAACTGGGTTCAAATCCCTGGTCAGACATGGAAATTTATCAGGAGTGTATGTAATACCTGATAACACCACTCCTTAAATATTTCACTTACTTTGAAAGTTCTATTAGGGTCACTGTAAGTCACAGGCAACTTCATAGCACATAGCACACGGACACACACACACACACACACACACACACGGACACACGGACACATGGACACACAGAGAGACACCATTCTGGGCATCCTGAGACATACACCCACCACTATTTTTTCAGGGCATGCAGAGACAGAAGGACAGGTTCATCACACAGAAAGATTAGAAAGGGGACAAGGCAGACTATATTGGTCTAAGGACTTCTATAGCCCTTTATTGATTCATTCAGCCAACAAATAGCTCTGGAAGATGTGAGGCCGGCAACGAAATGTTTCCGTTTGGAAGGTTCCTGCTTAGTATTCCAACCAGGCAGAGATGTCATTAATCCATCCTTCTCAACCCACTGCCCAGCAGACATTTGGCAATGAAATGCATGTGACATCCTCACCGCTGGCCTTGGAAGAAACTCAGAAGGGGCGCCAGTCGTTGACTGGTTGAATTCTGCAACACTTGTGGAGATCTTCAGTGGAAGACAGACAGACAGACGGTCAGGACGGACGGACAGGACGGTCAGGACGGACGGACAGGACGGACAGACAGGACGGACGGACGGACGGACGGACGGACGGACGGACAGACAGACAGACAGACAGACAGACAGACAGACAACAGACAGACAGATAGATAGATAGATAGATAGATAGATAGATAGATAGATAGATAGATAGATAGATAGATAGATAGATAGATAGATAGATAGATAGATAGATAGATAGATAGATAGATAGATCACAATGGATGGATGGATGGATGGACGGACGGACGGACAGACAAACAGACAGATAGATCACAATGTATTTTCAGGTGTGTTAGATGAGGTCAGGGTACCCTACCGTTTCTCAGCCCTCCAGTAGTTCTGGACTATGGTTCCCATCATTGACAGCCAACGTTCTCCTTGGGGCAAGGATGATGGGAGATGTAGTCCAAACCCAGCTAGAGAGGAGCAAAGTGAGGAAAGCTGCAATAGAGGGTTGAGACCAGTGTTTCCCAACTTTGGGCCCCCAGATGATGTTCTTGGACTGCAGCTCCCAGAAATCCTGGCCAGCACAGCTCGTGGTGAAGGCTTCTGGGAGCTGTAGTCCCATGAACATTTGGGGACCCAAGGTTGGGAACTGCTGGACTAGGAGAATGTTCTATAGAATCTTGGAGGAGCTAGCTGGCTTTGGAGGAGGGATTTGAAGGAAAGGAAGGAGTTGGTTGCACAGGGAGGTTTGGAGGAGAAGCTCTGGGTGTGGATGACAGAAAGTCAAAATATGGAAGGAAAGGTCCCAAGGGATCAGAAGAAGGAACTTAGAGCTTTGGGGAGCTATTCTTCTTTGGAGCAGAGCCACCAGAATCTCCACACTAGCATTTCCCATGTCACGTGGTGCAAAGGTCAAGCAGTACTGCAGTCAGGCCTCTGCTCATGACCTAAAATCAATCCGGATGGGTCCAGGTACAGTGGGGTCTTGACTTGAGAACTTAATCCGTATTGGAAGGCGGTTCTCAAGTCAAAAAGTCTGTAAGTCAAGTCTCCATTGACCTACAGTGCATTGAAAACCGATTAATCCCGTAACAGGCTGTTTTTGTTCCATTTTGGTTTTTTCTGGTCTGTAAGTCAAATCTCAGTCTGCAAGTCAAACCTAAATTTTGCGGCCAGAGAAGTCTGTAACTCAAAAAGTCTGTAAGTCAAGCCGTCTGTAAGTCAAGGGTCCACTGTAGCTGGCTCAAGCTTGATTCAGCCTTTCATCTTCCCAACGTTGATCAATTGAGTACACCAACTCACGGGGTGGGGGGGGTAAAGTGTTGTTTGCATAATTATGTTGTAAAACCACCCACAGAGTGCTTCAGTTCTGTTGTGCCCTATGTAAAAACAAGGAACAGCAATAATAACTATTCTGGGAGGTGTAGTGCAAAAAAAGGGAATAATCCCAAGATCTCTTTATTGCCTCCTCAATAGCCCTATTATTTTGAATCATTCTGGATCTGTACAGTGTGGAGAGGGTGAGAAGCTTCCCCCTCATTTTATGCCAGTCTTGGGTTGGCGCAGGCGTACCATAACCTAATGTAATCCCATACAATTTCCAGCATAGACAGTGATTTCCCACTGGTATCAGCGATGGCCTTTTATGCCTCTGCTGCTTTTCCTTTCAGCTTGATGCTTTCGTCAAAATTGCCTGATTCCTAGCCACACCTTTGCAGAGCTGTGCTGGAAGTGTCTAACCGATGGTACCCATCTTTTGTTTGACAGATGAATCGCCCAATCCAGGTGAAGCCAGCAGACAGCGAAGGCCGAGGAGGTAGGTCTCTCTTCGCATTAAATCCATTGATCTGCGTTCGGTTGCTTTCCCTGATGGTGCCTTTTGTACATATCGGTGGCAGGGCTGCTTCTTGTGACATGAAATCCCTATCAGCCTTTGCCGGACTGGCCGGCAGCGATGCTTGACAACAGTAGTAGTCTGAACCCACCACCCCATGAAACACAATCAGGGTTCAGAGAGAGTCCATGAAAAGATAGTCAGATTCCGGGCCAAGAGGGGAGAAAGTTTCACCCCCTAATGGCCACTCTAAATTATCCGCTTGCATAAAAGTCAGAAGAAGACTTCAAGCTGTTGGAAGATGGCACAGCTGAGAGGTAGAACGGCAGTATCAATAAATACCCGTATTTTTCGCTCCATAAGACGCACCTTTCCATAAGATGCACCAATTTTTTAGGAGAAGAAAACAGGAAAATATAATCTGTTTTCTTTGCTCCATAAGACGCACAGACTTTCCACCCCCCTGTTTTGTGGGAAAAAAGTGTGTCTTATGGTGCGAAAAATACGGTAATAGACATAATAAAAAGTTTGCCCAAAGTGGGGGGGAAAGGGAAGCGCACTCAGCAGCACAATTAGCATTTGTGAGATAGATCAGAGGTCCCCAACCCCCGGTCCGCGGCCCGGTGCCGGTCCATGGCCTAAGCCTAACCAGGCCACAGAGTGAAACCTCCCCCCCCCGTTTGTGCCTGCGTGTGTGCGCCCACATGAGCGCTGTACCGCCCTTCATGCATGCAAACGTGTGCGCCTTTGTGCATGCGCATGAGCACAGGGGGGTACAGCGGGGCTAAAAAGGTTGGGGACCGCTGAGATAGATGACATAAATAAAAAATAAAAAATCTCTCATTCCCCCATAGCTGGACAGAGGCCAGTGCTGCTGTATAATTAAAACAAATAACTTTTTACAAGGCAGCGAGGCACCCATTAAATCCTCTGGTGTTTCTATCACCATGTATAGGACAGTTCGAAAACTGTGCCCCCAACACCCTGCTTGAGCAAAATATCTGTGCAGTTTATTTAAAAAAATAATAATGGTGGAGATGGTTCTTTTTTAAAATGGAAGTGACTTTCCAGTCACTTTCTGGATGCTTGCCAGTCACTTCTGGTTTGATTTAGAGGAACCTGATCAGCTACTGAGATTGGCAGAAGGGCTCCTGGGCATCAGGAGCTATACAAGCTGGCACCACTCCTGCTTTAATGGGGTTGCCTATGTAGCCTTGGGCAAGCTGCACAATCTAAGAGGGCCTGAGAAGCCCACTTGGACCACTTCCGAGCTCTCTATGTCTAGAAAACCTTGGACAGGGTCTCCATATGGCAAATGTGATGTGATTGCACAATCAATCAATCAATCAATCAATCAATCAATCAATCAATAAATAAATAAATAAAAATAAAAATAAAAATAAAAATAAAAATAAAAATAAAA